ATAAACAATCAACGTCCCCCCCCTCAGCGCGCCACGGTAAAATCATTAAACGTTGACCGGTCCGCGGCGATAAAAAGGTTGGGGAGCACTGGTCTAGAACTATGAGGTGAATGAAAAGCACTCGCGTCATAGTTCTCCTTTTTAATGTGTGTATTGCTCCAGCGTAATAATAACCATTTGAATTGACCTGGATTCATGTTTGTCTCATATTTGACCCTATTTTAGAAGATCAGGACATATTTGACTGCACACTATCATAAAATAATTGCATTATATCAGTTGGTTGCTCAGTTTCCCTTATAATGCTGGTATTTGAGTTATATCCATTGATCTTTGTTTGCCTAAGGCAAATGTGTGGTTTGTTTTGTTTGAAATAATTTTTCTGTTAAAGAGACTGCACCTGCCTTTGTGTGTTTCAGGGTTACCTTGGCTACTATTGGGATCAGCTGGCTGGTCGTGGGAGCTACACTTGTTGGGCAGATGCCAAACGGCAGGTAAACATATTAAGAACAAATAGAATATGCAATATGCGCAGAAAGCAAGAATGGGAAATGGGAATGGGAAGATGAACAGTTGATGAGAAATAAAAAATTTTTGTTGGATAGAAGCCTTATATGGACCAAATAATAAACGCTAAATTATGAAAATCTTTATTGTAAGGTAATATTTTTCAATGATGTATACCTCTATTGGCCAGAAGTTCCTCCGATGCACTGTACCTCTTTGAAGAAGAGATAAAGAAGATTCTGACATCAGCCTTTTCTATTAGAGTGTTATGCAGCCACAACACACACATTCCCCTTCATTCTCCTGGGTGCAGCTGAGGCTTACTGCAAAGTTGGCTCCAACAACCGTCCTGATCAATCTGGTGGCACTACCAAACAGGGGTAAGCCAATGCTATCCCCAGAGCCAGTCCACAGAGTCATGCAGAGTGAGCTTTATATAACTTATCTGCTGCTGACGGCACCATTGTGGTCTACAGCCTCTGCCTGCAGCATATCCATGGTATAAGCCAGCCGTTTGGGTACTACATGCATGAGGAAACGCATGACTGCACTACAGAGCCACAGCTGCAGAATGTCTACTGTTTACAGCAGGTTAAGTTCTGCATTGCACCTCCAGAGTTTGTGCCCTATTCCAGTGCTCAAAAATATAAAAGACATATGTGGCTATTGTCTCTCGGATAAAACACTCTGTTCATTTAAAGATAAAACCTGTCTCATCTTTCCATCTTAAATTGCGGCTTAACCAAGCTGCTTTCATACTGTTTATCCAATGTACAATATTTCTGGCTTTTGCCTTTTCAGATAATACTCTCCAATTTTGTATTTACAGTTAAAACTTGTCTTGTCTCTCCCTCCTTTATATTGTGGTCTAACTAAGCTGCTTATATACTATCCAGACACTATGCAGTATTTTTGGCTAGTGTTTCTCAGATAATACTCTGTTTTTATCTTTTTAAGATAAAACCTGTCTTGTCTTTCTATTTCCTGCCTATTCAACTACTCATCTATTGTCCTGATGCTGGGGAATTTCTACCAAAGACATACCTGAAATCTATGTTTTGAATTTTATGGGGGATACAAAGATGGCAAGTGTATTGAAAAATGTGTGGTTATGAAGTTTTTCTTGTGCGCTCTTTTTTGACATTTTGTTAAACATTTAAGACCATGCAGAGTGGTACTGAGAGAAAAAGAAATCTCACAAACTATGCTACTAAACTGTTGTGCCACTGGCTAATTTGTATGAATTGAAGGGCTTCAGTTTTTTTTTTTTTATAGCTTTTAGATCTGTTTTGGCAGCTATGGTCACCAGTTAATTCCTGTCTATTAAAAATCAGGTGTTACAGCCAAACCTACCTTTTATTCCAAGCTGAAATGAATCAGATTGGGATGCTGCTGCTGTATTTAGTCCAAGCTACATGTAAAAGTTAAAAAATCAATTGCACATCCAAAATACGTGATATGTGAAAATTGTACTATTCCATAATACCACTTACAGCTTAAAGACAATACCAAAGCTTGTAATTTAAAGGGTTGGTGGTTTCTTTTTCCATGTTGCAGTGTCCAGCTTCTCATGCCCTTTTTTTAAACTACCGTATAGTCAGCTGAGCTTCGAACCAGACTTTCCGAAACCCTCGGCAAACTGAACTCAATGAGCTTTGATGATTGCACAGCTATGTTTGGCTCAGCAGGGACCATGTCCAACATCTGTAGAAAGATTGCTGCTTCCACACAGAGAGCAAGAGTCGTTCTCTACAGCATGCTGGCAGGGGACAGACATTTCTACTCAAACTGACTTTGTTTTGATACACCTGGAGTGTGTAAATAGCTGATTTTAATTTGAAAGTGCATTTGGGCTTTAATGAACTGCGGTCTGTCCTGTACTAATACAGGTACCAATAGGTACTTTAGATTTTGTAATTTAATTTCACTTGCCAAACATCAAATCTTTCAGATCAAAGTATGTGACAATCAGCTGTGGCCCTGTAATCACAATGGTAAATTAAAATGGTTTTCCATGTTGTTGTTTGTTTTTTTATAAGCAAAGGGCATTTGTAAAGCCGAGCCTACTTACTAGTGTGTGTGTGCTTTTAATTACTTTTCTTCTATTTACCATGTGTAATCTGTTGCAAGAATGTCACAATTTCCAGCTGTACCACAATTACATAATCCAAGAGTTTGATAACTATATAAAGATATGTTAAAAGGCAATCTTGATGAAATATACAAGGAGTGAGTGAAACTATAAAATACAATATATTGCCAGTGGAAGTTTAGAAATACTTGATAAGTTACTTGTTTAAAGCTCTTTGAAAACATAATGCTTAGTGTTCCATCTTAAAGTGAAACTACAACCTCGAATCCCTTTCAGCCAAGAAGGGAGCCATCTTAGCCGCTATTTGGATTGCAGTTGTCATGGTGCTGCACATGTGATCAGCTATGACAACAGTTGTTTGAGAGCTTGAAAATTCAGCCAAGAGCTGAAATGAGCACACTGACAACCTTAACAGTTGGCAAGCCCTAAAAGTAACTGTTTTGGGAGACATTACATTGGTAGGTAAAGTTCCTCTTTAAGTGATGCAACCTGCTATGTTTTTAGATTTGTATGCATTTTTATTACAGAGTGAAGGACTGGTTCAGTGAGCTGGTGCACCTGGTCTGCTGTCGGATTTGCGCAAGAGCTCTTTCCAGTGCAATTCAGTATCATGACAAGTAAGCCAATATGACAGTAGACTATAAATGCTTAGTCTCATGTGTTTTATTATATGAAGACTGCCTCGTCTCCGTACACCTTTTTAGTAAGTCAAGAAAATGTGTACCTTGCCCACCCCAGAAACATTTGGTGTGTGTGTGTGTGTGTGTGTATATAGATATATCTATAGATGTGTATATAGAGACCTCCTGGGTGAAATAGAATTTTAAAAAAAAGTAGAGTGGAGTACAAACACTTAGTAAGAAGTAAACCATGTATTTGCTAAATGCTTTTTGTTTTATTAAAAATAATTTCTTCATATATTACTTTTGTAAAATGCAAAAGCTCAGCTTTTTAAAACTGTACGGTCTTGTAGTTTTATTTCTCTGTGGTATCACACAGTAAAGAAGAAATTGTTAATATATGCTCATAAAGTTCTCTCTCAAGTCTGCTCCTATGAGGATTGACAGCAGGCAGTGGGTGGGTGCAATAGCCAGCCTGCTATTGGTTAGTGCTTGTTGGAAATATTTATCTGTAGTTTTGTATTGATGATTATTGACAGGTCCTCAGAAAGAACACAACATGTGCTATGTAGCGTAAAACCGTATGCAAGCTTTATTAAAATAAATATATAAAAATACACTTGCATTTATCAGCGTTACAAGACTGCCTACAGTGCAGTACAGATCATGTCCCCAAGTTTCCGTTCAGCTGGTGGGTAGACAGCTCTGTATCTGGGTCATTGTGAGGTCAAGCTGTACTGGTAAATGATTTAGTAGTAGTGCTTTACGCACTCTGTTGGTTTAATATTGTATCACATATGTTGTATGGCCCACTCCTAAGCTATAAAATCTCTTTTTTTTTCTTCAGAGAAAACAGGCCTAAGAAAGGAGGGATTTGTGTTGCCAACCACACATCTCCAATTGATATTATTATTTTGGCTAATGATGGTTGCTATGCTATGGTAAGTAGAGCCCTGGGGCTAGCAGACTGTGAAATGATTATTGATATATGTATGTTGTTTATATTGAGTTGATTGGTGTTTTTTGTCTGACATTTGTTAACAGTTGCTAAGTGTGTGTTTGTTTTTTTACCTTTGTTGCTTCTTTGGGGCCACTTCCTGTCTACATGCATGCACTCCTGCAACTGCTGCACATTATTTCTCAAGATAGGTTGGAACCATCAGGAAACCTATCTCGAATAATTAGAATATCGTGCAAAGTTCATTTATTTCACTAATGCAACTTAAAAGGTGAAACTAATATATGAGATAGACTCATTACATGCAAAGCAAGATAATTCAAGCCGTGATTTGTCATAATTGTGGTGATTATGGCTTACAGCTCATGAAAACCCCAAGAACCCCAAATCCACAACCTCAAAAAAGTAGATTATTACATGCAATCAATAAAACAAGGATTGTACATAGAACAATATCGGACCTCTGAAAAGTACAAGCATGCATATGTACTCAGTACTTGGTTTGGGCCCCTTTGCAGCACTTACTGCAATTACTTTTGCATGATATTCTAATTATTCGAGTTTCACCTGTATAACATGCTTGTGTGATGCGTATTGGCATGGATACGTGTGATGTCTTGTCACCCATCATGCTTTTCTGATAAGGCAGGAGCACTTATGGGAGACAGCGCATAGTCGCACCATTTACTGATTTTAGTAAATTTTACTTGTAGTCAGAGCCCCACTGATACATACCTGAACATGGGGATGATGAACCTGCCTAACTTGACCTGAGCTGTGCTGTGGTCACTATGGTCAGTATGCAAATAAGGGAGCATACTCCAAAGAGTAAAATGTTATCAAAAGGGGTAAGGGCGGGTGGGATGTAACGGACGTACCGACAGGTGAGTAGGGGAAACGGGAGGGTTTAAATGTGTGGGGCTCTTCCCACAAATACAGCTAACAAATTAGCATTAAACTTGTAGTCAGAGTCCTACTGATACGTACCTGGACATAGGGATGATGAACCTGCCTAACTTGACCTAAGGTGTGTCGTGGTCGCTGTGTTCAGTATGCAAATAAGGGGGGAAAAATTACACACTAGGGATTGAAACAGGATTTATTGAACAGGAACCAAATTACCCAAGCAGCTTAGAAAACGGCTGAGCCATCTCCAACTGAGGATTGGGCACGTGTCTAGTATAACATCCCGAGTTCCATCTGCTTAACTGTTTGATGACATGGACAGGTATGCCCTAACTAGATTCTGCGGTGGCTGCCCCAATCCTAAATGAATGACCCGAATACTGTTCTGGGTTGAGGCCCATTTGGCTATTAGAATACGGACGTGCCTCATACATTGTGCGGAACTGAGTGGTCCACCTAAGAAGGGCAACAGGGGGCAATGCGGGGGGAGTGACCTAGAGCGGCTACTAACTGGTCCAGAGTCTCAACTGGACACCAGGCATTGAGAGTGGTGAAGTACTTGACCTCAACGCTCTTGCTAGGTTGCAGAGTCTTGGAGTGTTCCAGACACAGACTAAAGTGCATGAGGTAGCGAATCAGCTGTCTTTTGGCAAGAGCGGGGGGCCTGTGACCTGGTGACGGTAAACTCCCCGGGTCTGAGAAAACCGTAGCATGCCAAATAGATGGCTGCTTTCAAAACTAGGCTGGGGAGTTTACCAAAGGGTGCCTGAGAAAGCATTTGGTCAAGGTCCCGTAACATGCTTACAGGGATGGAAAGGCGAGTAACGCTAGACCTTGAGTGTAACTTCTGAACCCCCTTGAGTATAGCCTTGATAGGGTGGCCTGAGAAGAGTGACGGCCTAGAAGGGACATGTGGTGCTGAATGCCAGCCAGGTATAACCCTAATCGTGCGTTGTGACAGACCCAGTTTGTTGAGACAATAAGCCACAAAAGACGGGATATACTTAATATCACATGTGTCCATCCTAGGGTATGTACTCTGAAAATCAAGGAACTTATGCCAGGCCGAAGCGTAAGCCCTTCTAGTGTTCTCGGACAATGAGATGTCAATAATGTGGCAGGCAGCGGACCAATGAGTGTTCAGTCCTTCGTCAATGGGGAGAATATTGACACAGGTGTTGCGGAATCGTCCGCCCCGGGATGTTGTTGGAAGAAAAGGGTAATGTTAACCGAGACAGAGCATCGGCTGCAGTATTAGAACTCCTGGTAATGAACGAAATGGCATTATTAAAGCTGTGCTGCAGGGGTAAACCATATCAACTTCCTCAGGAACTACATAATAAGCAATGACTTGGACCTCCCTTTATTGACGATATCTGCAGTGGCTTGATTATCTGTTAGGAAGACCACTGTCTAACCTGAGCACAAAGGCCCCCAAACTGTCGCTGCGGCCACAATTGGGTAAATCTCAAACTCCGGAACCTGAATAACCTCTTCAGACCAGGGAGCTACTAACCAATGTGGGCAAAAAATAGCCGCATAGCTCCTACAGGCCATGGGATCAGTAACAGGGGGCGAACTATCAGAAACCCGTGGGATGAACATCGATATACCACTCCACTTACCAAGGAACTCCTCAAGCATCACCAAATAAGCACGCGCGCAGGAGTCCAGATGAACCAGGGACTCCGCATCAGGCGCAGAAGGCCGGAGCGCAAGTTATATGGAAAGGAATTCCCTACCCTGCGGGATTATACGCATAGCAAAACTGAGCATGCCCAGTAACGATTGCAGCCCCTGCCTAGTCGCAGTGCGGGACCGAACCATAGCCCGGCTGGCGAGCCTGATCCTATCTAACTTGTCCTGAGGCAAACTAGCTTGCATGCGAAGGGAGTCTAAATGGATGCCGATGAATGTGAATGAATGTCTGGGCCTTCAATCTTGTGGGCCGCCATAGGTACATTAAGTTTGTTAAAATCTGGGCAATAGAGACAGCAGATCAGCAGGGGGCCGAGCAGGACTCTTAACCAAAAGAAAGTCGTCTAGATAGTGAATAACTGTCTGACAACCCACGTCCGCCATGGACAACCGGGATCCTCTACCTGCCTGAATTATGGCCTGACTAGCCTGATCCACAGACGAATACTTACGAGAAAATTCCTCTGACAGGATCAGCGCCTGTGTCAATACGGCATATTCATGCTGAGTCAGCCTGCCTCAAAGTACAGGCTGACTTGGATGGGCCCTGAAACAAAGGGCGCAAATGTGCAGAAGGTGACACTGCCCAAATTTGCAGATGGTATAGTTAAAATTAATGCAAAGTTTGGCTTTAAAATTAATGGGTCTGCCTAATTTGTCCAGATGCACCACTTGTTTGGCCATGTTTAGAACACCTGGCCGGAGAAGGCGAAATGGAGACAAACTCCTCGATGTCGAAAGCTTTCAACATTCTGTACAGGTTGAAATGACAACTGACCATGTAATGGAAGCTGTGAACTGGATACAAGGAAAGCAACCACCACCAGAGTGCAGACTGACAACAACTGTGAAAATATTTATAAAGACGCTGTCAAGTATTCTCTTAACACTTCTTCTTCTTCTTCTTCCATCTTCATCTTCTTCCATCTTCATCTTCTTCCATCTTCATCTTCTTCCATCTTCATCTTCTTCCATCTTCATCTTCTTCCATCTTCATCTTCTTCCATCTTCATCTTCTTCCATCTTCATCTTCTTCCATCTTCATCTTCTTCCATCTTCATCTTCTTCCATCTTCATCTTCTTCCATCTTCATCTTCTTCCATCTTCATCTTCTTCCATCTTCATCTTCTTCCATCTTCATCTTCTTCCATCTTCATCTTCTTCCATCTTCATCTTCTTCCATCTTCATCTTCTTCCATCTTCATCTTCTTCCATCTTCATCTTCTTCCATCTTCATCTTCTTCCATCTTCATCTTCTTCCATCTTCATCTTCTTCCATCTTCATCTTCTTCCATCTTCATCTTCTTCCATCTTCATCTTCTTCCATCTTCATCTTCTTCCATCTTCATCTTCTTCCATCTTCATCTTCTTCCATCTTCATCTTCTTCCATCTTCATCTTCTTCCATCTTCATCTTCTTCCATCTTCATCTTCTTCCATCTTCATCTTCTTCCATCGTCATCTTCTTCCATCGTCATCTTCTTCCATCGTCATCTTCTTCCATCTTCATCTTCTTCCATCTTCATCTTCTTCCATCTTCATCTTCTTCCATCTTCATCTTCCGTACTTAGTTCCTTCCTTATTTTTATTCAATTTATTATAAACTAAAATATATACTCCTCTTATTGCATATATTTTAAAACATAGAAGACAAATGCATATTGTTTACCACAGCAGTTCTTTAGATTTTCTTTTTTTTTATGCTACATCTTGTTGTTCAGGTTGGACAGGTTCATGGAGGACTAATGGGAGTAATTCAAAGAGCTATGGCAAGGGCATGTCCACATGTGTGGTTTGAACGTTCTGAAATGCGTGATCGCCATCTAGTGACAAAAAGGTATATACATGTTCCTTCAAGAATGCATAATACCAACATGTTCTAGTTCCTTATCCCCATGTCATACAAATATGCTATTATGTACTTAAGCCAATTGTTATTGATCACAGTCACTACCCTGTTCTTATTAGCTCTCAATTTGCTTCTTCTGTGTGATGCCCATCAAAATTCCAGCACATGTAGTAGAGTTAAAGCTATCTCTTTGCTATCTCTTTGCTTATGTTCTCTGACATTTTTTTAGCTAGCCTCAGAGATGCATCTTTAGCTGACCACAGTACTTCTCTATACTGTTTTTTCAATCACTGCTGTGCATTGAGGACCAGCAGCTGCATTAAATAACCAGAGTAGCTACTCAAGCTGGCAATTCTGTTCCAAACTTTAAAGGCTGCAAAATGCCAGTTTCTCGTTGACTGAGCTGCAAATCAATGGTAACTGCATCATGGACCATTCATTGGCCACAGTTTAATTTTTTCCTATCCACAAAAATGCTAAGAAATACAATACTGTAGCTTAACAAATCAGTGCTATAGGATTGCTCTTGTGAACTGCCCCTTTTATCTCAATTCAAATTTAAAAAGACATGCTAAAAGGTGAATTGGCTCCTGTCTAAATCGGCCCTATGTGCATGTGAGATCAAGACCTTAGATTGTAAGCTCCTTTAGTGCAGGGGCTGATGTGAATGTGAAGTATGTAAAGCGCTGCTTAAATTAACAGCACCATATAAATACCTGTAATAATAAATTAATGAATTTTGCATATGATTTTATGGCTTGCTTACATGTCTTGGAATTTTTAACTCTGTTATCTTTAGTTTAACTGCACTTTACTGTTCTTCAAACAGGCTACGAGAACATGCTTTGGATAAGAAAAAACTACCAATTCTCATCTTTCCTGAAGGTTGGTGGCATCTAGTTTTCTTGTATAACAGAAGGCTGCATAGAGTCTGGATCTGCCAATGTTGATTTATTCCTGGACATTGCAGAGAATTTATTCCAGAGGACCATGTCCAGGGTGAATCCTGTATTATGTTAGAATTCTAGACACTGAAAGACTTGGTGGAAGCATGTTACTCTAATAGAATTCTGGGGTGCATTACTACAGCGACCCCCATACTATCACCAGCAGGAGGACGGTGGTTCTGATTCCACTATATAGAGCTATAGTTGAACCTCACTTAGTGTGTCCAGTTTTGGAGACCTTGCTTAGACAATGTATTAAGATGGCATGAGTCCCAAGACTGGCAACAAAAATGGCAAAAGGTCTGAGGAATAAAACAAATAAGGGAGACTGATGGAATATGATATATACCGTGTTTCCCCGAAAGTAAGACCTACCCCGAAAATAAGACCTAGCACTATCTTCAGGGGTTTCTGTAATATAAGACCTACCCCGAAAATAAGACCTAGTTCGGTGGTAGATCTCATATTACAGACATCCCTGAAGATTTGAGGGGGGGCGGGGCAGTATTTTCAGCATGAAGCTATGATCAAGTTTCTAAGTTTCGAACCTTAGAAACTATTGTTTTACTAATAGAGTATTTGATTCTTCGAAGACACTTCCAGTAGAGGTAGTGAGTTGGTCAGCAATAAGTGAATTTTTAAAAATGCTTGGGTTAAACATATAGTAGGTCTATACTTGCACAGAAAGGGTAAAACAAATCAAGTAACTCTAACACATAGGATTGTTCAATATGCAAATATCAATTTCACAATAAAGTCAACACTCTGCCCTACCCCATAATACATTGTCATGGTTGGGTGGTTAATGTGATGGATTACTGCACTGTCTCTCCTTACTCACAGGATTGAAAATGTGTGTGAGGTGGGACCAAATGCTGACTTTCGAGTGAAATTCAGTATTTGCATGTTAGAGCTTTTTAGTGCACTGCTGAAGGTAACAGAGGCGATGGGCAGGCACAGCTAGGTGGGTGATCTGTATGTGTTATGATTGCTTCTTAATACTTTCAGATTTCGCTGCCACCGCCGTTAGGCTTACGGCGGAACAAAAGTGTTCCCGGCTGACCAGCTCAGTATGCCTTACGTCGGTGGCATTTACAGTTCTGCTATAAGCTCATGGTCGCTTCACCAACACAGCGTAAAACAATTTTTAACATGTCGCTTTTTTACAGTTTTGCGTACCTTCATTTTTTTTACCTTTTCGCAAAAAGGCGCAATTTCAAATGTGCAAATATTTGTTATTTATTAACTCAATACAGTTTTATCTATTAGATTTAGTCAGAAAATATATATTTTTTTTGTGCACGGATACTGATTTTAGTATGTTTCATCAATTGAATTGTGTATTTTTATCGGTTTAATATTAGAGATATAATAATAATATGAGAAACATTTGCGCAATTATCGCAGGGCCTACAAATTTAGTATCACCATCTTTTTATTCTACCGGGCCTGTGCTTTCAGAAAATATATGGTTTGGGGGGTCTTTTACAAACGCTAGCAACGCAGCAGTTAAAAATCAAATCAATGTGAAAAATTGCCGGCATCTGGAGCCTCTCATCTCTGCCTGGAGCCGCTCAAGGCAGGCATCTGTGACTCCATGGATCCCCGCTGCTGTGCCCTGCTTGTAGGGCTGTGGCAGCGGGGATCAAAAAAAACATCTCCAGTGGGGGGCGGAGGAGCAAGCGTCGGCTGGCGGGGAGAAGCCACAAGTTTCAGGATGGCCGAGCGGTGAGTAGAACTGAGTCGCTGTCATCCTGTCAGTTTCCGGATGACAGCGGCTCTGTGCGTGGCCGTACGGAGGATCGATAAATATCATTGATATTTACCGATCCTCTGTGCAGCACAAACACCGGAGTGATCGCGTGATCACTCCAGTGTTTGTAAATAACTGGGGACACATAAGGGGTTATTCACAAAGCTGCTGAAGGCAGCCGTGTGAATAACCGACCCGAAGTGAAGTGAGCCGAACGCCGTTTGGCTATTCACTTCAGGCTTGTACAGCTGATTTCAGCCGTACACCGACTGAAATCAGCCGTACAACGGCTTGCTGCGGCTGGGTTTGGGTCGGCCGAAGTGCAGAAGGAGTTTGACTCA